TAATGCCCCATAGTAGGAATAAAATTTCAACATGAGTTTTAGAGGGGACAAACCACACGGACGTTTGACAGTCTCTCACTATGCCACTTCTTTACTCTGAGTGCTTTGGTAAGCCCAACATCGTGACTAAATGTCCAAGTCGCTGGTTTTGGAGTACTTTTGTAGAGATCAGTTGAATTACCTGGCGCTAGTAAGAAGGAAACACGGAACACGCAACAAACCCGCTTATGAGTTTATTAGCGGGTACGTGAACAGATCTGGAGAAGTCAGCGTGCAGAGAAAGAGATGGTGCATCCGGCTTTTAAAAGCTGCATAGCCCATGCACACAGGGGGTTGACGTGGCTATGTCATAAGCAGAAGACAGGGCTCATGCATGCATGCAAGGGCTTAGCTGAGTCATATGTGGATGATGTCACCACGTATGCTCGTGGGTCACGTGGGGACCCCGGGGCCATTAGTCACTGCTTCCTGAGGGTTTGTCCGCACATGCACGGCCCTAGAACTCGGAAGTGTCAGCCAGTTGTGGCTGAAATCATAACACAGTGCTTCACCTTGCTAATTGTGCTGTTTGTGAACATGGCTGTTGATTTATTCAGACTCGGAGCTCCTGGAGGTAGCAACAGGGGTCTTGTTAACTCTCAGTCATTATTTTACAATTCCAGTGGCTGGCGGGCCAGTCGAGTCAAAACGCCTGAAAGCATGAAGGAAGCATTTACCAGATGTCTAGAAAGCTCCAGCTATCAATTGCGCCTTTTAATGGATGTTAAGCACGGGGCTTAAGAAATACTGCTACATTTAAAGCCATTTACTTGGGTTCAGAGCATTGCTTTTCTCAAACGTTCACCTACATTAGCAAAATGACCTATCAATTTATTTCCAAGGAACAAGTACAGACTTTTCTTCCTTTAATAATGATCTGCCAAGAAATATTACTGTATCTTTGGCTATAGCAAATATAAACATCACTCAAAAACCTTTTGCAAAGTACCGAAGCCTACATGTGAGGAGTAACATCCCCTAACGGGTAGGACAATGGGATTTTGAACTTGCTGGGCTGTGAGAGAGAGGGGAGGTGGGGCTCTTTGCGGATTTTGTTGATTTCCAATTCCTTAAATGTATTCCACTAGTTGGGGGATTAAAAGGTTTACTGGGGAGTGTCAGTTGTCTAAAGACTGAGGAGAGACTCAATAATCCTGTGAAAGAGACTTCTGCAACTGGAATGTCGAAAGACTTGGTGTCTCGAAAGTAATTTTGCCCTTTCTTATACTCACTTGGTTCTTTGATAACAATACAGCTGCCTGAGAAGAAATGGCAGGTTTTGGGAGCTTAATTTCCACACGGTTTGCATGACCCTTTCTCTCTCTCTCTCTCTCTCTCTCTCTCTCTCTCTCTCTCTCTCTCTCTCTCTCTTCTCTCTCTGTCTCTCTTCCCCTGTCTCTGTGTCTGCCTGTCTGTCTCTGTCTGTCTCTCTGTCTCTGTCTCTGTCTGTCTCTCTCTGTGTATGTGTGTGTGTCTCATTGCATTTCTTAGTTTTTGCTTCTGGCCCTGGGACCTCCAGTTGTTAGCTGCACCCACATTAAAGACTGTTATCTTGGAGGACTGAGCCCTATATTGTTTGGTACCATGCCCCCTACCTTGATGACTTCCATTGTTCATTGTTCTCTGGGACTGCTTTCTCTGACTCTCACGTAGCCTCTTACATCTCTCTTTTCAAGGTAATACTGGTGAGATGAATCTGGTCTCTCTATTCATTTTCAAGTGCTAACTCCCAGCTCTCTAGAATATGACTGCATTGGAAATAGAGTCTTTAGAGGGGCAATTAAATTAAAATGACCTCACCAGGGCGAGTCCTAACTGATTGTGAATGATGTGCTTAGAAGAAGGGGAAATTTGGACAGACATGAAGAGAAGGAATATGAAAGTTTTGTGAGAAACTAACCATCAGAGAGGAGGCTTGGCACAAATTTCTTCCTCCCAGCATGTGAGAATAAACAGTCCCGGAGCACCTGGATCTCAGGCATCCATTCTTGAGAGTCTGAGAAAGTAAAATTGTGTGATTAAGCCACCCAGACTGTGGTACTTTGCCATGGCAGCCCTAGGAAGCTAGAATAATGTGGCATTTCTTTTTCTACCCCCATTACTTTGGACATATCTGTCTTTATACTTAAAGTGAGTTTCTTGTAGACAATGCATACAAGATAGATAGTTTATTTGGTGTTATACCTACAAAAAGTGGTATATTCTTACAATTCACATATAAAGCCATTTAACATCTACCGTGTCCATAAATTTTTCTGTTCTTTGTGCTTTTTCTTTATTTCTTTACACTCCTTCTCCCTTCTGTCTTTTCTGACTCATCAGTTATCTTTTTAAAAAATTATTTTGTGGTTTCCCTAGAGTATAATATATGTACATATATATATACACATAATATATGTGTGTATAAATATATATTGCAATTATTCTAACTCCACTTCCAAATAACATATTACCACAGCAAAGATACCTTTTTTCTTTTTACTCTTTTTATTCTGTTTATGTTTAAAATTTTATACATATGGGTGTTTTGCCTGTGTGTTTATTTATGCATCACATGTGTATCTGAGGCCATGGAGGAGTACTGCTTACTGGCTTGCTCCTCATGGCTTGCTCAGCCTGCTTTCTTATAGAACCCAGGGCCACCAGCCCAGGGATGGTACCACCCACAACGGTCTGAGCCCTCCCCCATCAACCACTAATAAAGAGAATGCCCTACAGTCTTTCTTACAGCCAGGTCTTCTGGAGGCAAATTCTCATCTGAGGTTCCCTCCCCTCAGATGATTTCTGTTTGTGTCAAGTTGACATAAAACTATCCTACACACTGCCAAAACTGTAACTTAAATTTGACTTCTAATATTTTAATTTCAAATACCCAGGATATATTTTGTTTTTCTAGTTTGAGTCAGGCATTCTTCCCAATCAGGTGCCCAAGTTTATGTTCGTATAAAGTGCTCACCATAGGCCTATAAGTTTTAGCATTTAGATCTGGAGGGGTAGAGCATTTCCCAGGGAAGGAGTGGTCTAGAAAGATAGCCAATTATGTACAAATTATTGTGGCAAATTAGCTTTCCCACCGGCTATACATGAAAACAATCATGTTACCAGACAGTAATTTCTTTTTAGTTTCTTTCCAAAAATGTATACTACTTTCTGTTTTGTTTCGTTTGAATCTCCTGGGTTCAGTTAGGAACTCAGGAAAACTTTGTCTTGTAGCAGTAGACCTGTCCCTAATAGCTTCATGGCTTAGGGCAAGAGCACAAAAAGGGCATATGGCTTTTGTGTACATTTTGAAAGATTATACCTGCTAGCCAAACTGTTAGATTAAGTGGTTTTATCTTTCTACATGACACACCTAAGTTAGAGCAAACATCATATAACTACCAAGAAGGCCAAAGTCAATCCTTGGGTGTCATGGCTCCCTATTGCACTAGAGATCTCCTTTCCAGAACTCAACTCTAATTATCTTTAATTCAAAAGGTCTTGTTTAACTGATTCTTGGTGCGTGTGACAGCAGAGGGTCTCAGTGAACCTGGAACTCACGATTCAGTAAGACCTCAGCTGGCCAGCCAGCTCATGGGTCCTCCTGTCTGTCTGCGAAGTGTTAGGATTACAAACACAGGCCTCGGAGCTTGGCATTTTATGTGCCTGGATGCAGGTCTTCAATCTCACACAGCAGGTTTTTTTTTTTTCCCAGTTAAACCCTGTACTAGCTAGCTTTATTGTTTAACTGATTCTGACAATTAAAAAAAGAAAGTGTTTACTGTGGTATTGCCTAATGTCTCTATTTTTTCTCCTTAGGATGAAAATTTGATCGATACCCCATTCTTTGAACTAAGGGTACCATAAACACTAGCACCCAGTATACCCCCCAAAGAAAATCTAAATCTCTTAGTAAGTCATATATTTTATTTTAGAAATTGCTTTCAATGCTTTCTTAAACCCCTAATCCGAGGGCCAAAATTCTCCCTCCACTTCCATTCCACCTGCAGACCTTAAAACAGAGTTTGCGCTGGGCGGTGGTGGTGCACGCCTTTAATCCCAGCCCCCGGGGGAGGTAAAGGCAGGAGGATCTCTGTGAGTTCAAGGTCAGCCTGTTCTAAAACGGCGAGTTCCTGGACAGGCTCAAAGCTACAGAGAAACCCTGTCACAAAAAAACAAAAACTAAAACAAATAAACAAAAAAGAACTGAGTTTGCTTAGAGTCGATGTGAACATCCTTAAGATTGTTGAAAACTACATCATGAAGGGATCCATTCTAAGCAACGATCTGATATATATACACACACATACACATATACATGCACATCCATGCGTGCACGCGCGCCACACACCACTGGCTGCCTGGGTCCGAGGGAATGACCATTCAGAGAGGAAGGACAGTAACCTGCACACACTTTAAAGCTTGTTCTTGCAGCACCTGGTCCAACTGGAACGACTTGAGAAGAAAATTAGGAGTACTCCTTTGTCACAAACAGGCTAAACTGGAATGAGTCACTTCAAATTTGTGCTGCGCCTCAGAGTCACCAACTATCATTTTAATAAGGACAGACACCCAAAGCACTGCAGCACGCTCTGAACAAAACCATAATTCGTTCCTGCTTCTATCTGTGCCCTTGGCCATTAAGATCCCCCCCCCCCACACACACACATACACACCCACCCACCCTTTCACTCGTGAGCTTTGGAGGGCGGGGCCAAGGGGAATGGCACACCTCTCTGAGCTTCAGTTCCCACACACCTAAAGAGTTAAGGACACGTGGTTGTCTTCGCCCAACAAAATTCAGCGAGCACAAGAAAATGTGCAGAAAAACTGTAACAGGAAGGGGGTTATCCAAATGTAAATCGTCGTAGACACACAGGACACAAGACGACCTCCAAAGCACGCGTGGAACTATTCCTCCAGGGGCAGGGACAGTCCATCCTGCCTCCCGCTGGGACGAGGGGGCGGGACCACTCGACCCCGCCCCCGGAGGCGCCCCGCCCCTCTCGCGCCTGCGCGGTGAGTGTCGACGGCCTCGAGCGCCTAGGCGGGAGGTAAGGGGCTGACGGGCGGCCTCCTCGGGGGAGCTGGGCTGTGATGTGGCACCGCGGGCCGGGGTGTAGACGCCCGTGAGAGGCGCCAGGCAGCAGGCCCGGCTTCGGGCTGGTGCAAGCGCCGGGCCGCATCTAGAAGTGACCGAGCCTCCCAGGTTTCAGTTTTGGAGCAGCTGTCGCAGCGGGCGCGGGGAGGACGGGACCCCGCGGTGCCAAGGCCTCCGGGGTCGCTGTGGAGAGATGGTCCCGGCCCTGGGTCGTCGGGTCGCCTGCCCAGCCACTCCGATGGGGGCGTCGGTGTGGCCCGGGTGCGCCCTGGTGACGCCGAGGGGGACGACGCGACGCCGGTGCCCAGGCAGGACGCGGAGAGGCCGCAACTGCGGGGTCCGGGCCTGCACCCTAAAGTCAACACCCTGTGCGCCACCCACAAGCCCACGGGGACGCGTTACTTTGAGGGGTGGTGTTGTCAACTGTTTGGGACACTATCTAGGAAAGGAGCTTTTTCACTTATAAGTAACTCTGGGGTAATTTACTTCACATTTGAGTACTTTTTCTTCTTCGGGACCCTGAGTAAAATGGTACCCATCTCATCTTAGTTGTGAGTTCCAGGAGATCAAGTTTGTAAAGCACCTGACACCTTTCACTGCAAGTGTGTGTGCCAGGAAAATGATTACAGTCCTGGCTTCTAAATGTTCTTCCGTTCACGAAACAGCGGTTCTTAGACGTACACAAACACAAAAACTGAAGTAATTTACAATTATTGATAGTTCACGTAAGTAGCTGGGTGGTGGTGGCCACGCCTTTAATCCCAGCACTCAGGAGGCCAAGGCAGGGCCACCTCTGAGAGTTCAAGGCCAGCCTGGTCCACCGAACTAGTTCCAGGACAGCCAGGGTTTCACGGAAAAACCCTGACTGGAAAACCAAAACAAAACAAAAACAAACAAACAAACAAACAAAAACAGATCGCACAAGTAATACAGAAAACTACAGCTTTCCTTGTGTTAGCATTTTACATACCCTACAAAGTACAGTCACCGAGATCAAGAGATTCACATTAGAGTTAACTGGGTCTCTTGTGAGTCCGCTCTCTTTATTAGAGTGCGTTCTGTGTTCAGTGGGACCTAAGACCCAACCTCACTCTTTATCCTCCATAACACCGTCACCTTTTCCGGTCCGCTAAGTCTGGTGGCTTCTATGCTGTGGAAGAGCCAGGAGTTGGTAGTGCCTTTCAAGTAGGAAGTTGGCTCTCGTTTGTTGTGAATAGATTGTTTCGAATTTTTGTTAGGAATACCACAGGGCATCAGTGTTCTTTGCAGTTTATGCCACCACGGAGCCTTCACGTGGGATCTGCCGCCTGTGGTGTCAACCTTGATCGCTTAATTAAACTTGGTGTCTGGGGGATTCGCCACTGCAATTACTACTCCAGTGATTCTCCAAGTACTATTGCTTTGGTGCTGTGGTACCCTTCAGTTACCCTCCTTCTTTTGCTGAAATTGTTGTCTAAAGAGGAGCTGTCTGTCCGTTCTTCCGATTTCTTTTTCTGTATTCAGTTCTTTGTGTCAATATAAACTCCTTTGATTGCTGGGTGGTAGTGGTGCACACCTTTAACCCCAGCACTTGGCAGGCTACAGAGCTGAGTTCCAGGGCCAGCCAGAGAAACCCTGTCTGCCTTGTTTTTTTTAATTATTATTATTATGCATTTAATATATCAGATTGTTCTCACTTTGACCATTGGGAGGTGTTTGTTTTCTGTACCCCTGTGTTTTGCCTGCCCCAGTCCTGGAATCAGCCCGTTCTCCAAGGGCTCCTTGGTTTCCTTCTCTCTCTTGTTGGTCCTGTCTTTCAGAATGGTGTTAGATCCCAACCCCTATGGTGTGGGTGTGCTTATGTCTACTAGGGTGTCATTGCTTTCAGAGTCTTACAAAGGGCCGCAGTATATGCATATATGCACACCCATGTATGCAAGATCAATGTTTACTTATGTATTTATTTGTGAATAGTTTTTTTTTAAAAAAAGAAACAGAGCGGAATCTGTCTTCACACCACCAGGTTCATCCTGGTATAACTCCTGCTTGTTGTCTAACGGTGAGAACTGACTCATTTTCTGGGAAATGTTTCCTGATTTTTGTTCCGTCCTGGTATGGGCAGACAGTAATTCCGGGATATCTAAAATATACTACTGAGAGGTGTAGTTGGAATTTTCTTTGGGCTGCCAACCAGCTCCCAGATAAAGACATGGAAACTTATTAATTGTGAATGCTCAGTCTTAGCCTAGTCCCACCAGCTCTTTTAACTTAGTTTAACCAGTTTCTATTCATCTGTGTTTGCCCCGGGATTTTTTATCTTTCTTTCATTCTGTATGTCCTACTTTCCTGCTTCCTTCGTGTCTGTCTCTCTGGCCCCTGGTGGTCTCTTTTTCTTTCTTCCCGCAGCCTAAATTCCTACCCAGAAGTTCTGCCTGTACCTCCTTCCTTGCTATTGGCCATTCAGCTTTTTATTAAACCACTTAGGTGCCTTAGGCAGGCAAGGCAAAATAGCAATACATCTTTATATAATCAAACAAGTGCAACGTATCTTTCCGTAGTTAAATAAATGTTCTGCAACAGAGAGAAGCACATAGTACAACTGTTTTAGTCTTTAGCCTTCCAAGGTTCAGCAAAACAACCATATTCTGGGCTTTGATTGCTTCCCCCTCCCCCTGCTTAGTTCTATGGTAATTCAGTCTTATTTTGATATCTTATTTTTCATTTTATGTTTCTCCCACATCTTGGTGTTTTTAATTTTTTATGCAGTACCATTTCATCTTTAATACGTACAGCCCTGTGGGTTTTGACAAGTGCAAATAGCTGTATATCACCTCACCATGACAGAATAAATTCTATTACAAATATTTTATACTTTTTAAAACTATTAAAATAATGTAACAGCTTCATAGAAGTTTGGGAACTTAGGCATGTTGTTTATTTTTGGACACTTTTTACAGGTGTGAGATCTTTTATATTTTTTTAGTTTAGTGTTTTAATCATGTAACATGTTCCAACTTTATGAGTAAAAAAATACAAAGTGCTGAAAAGTACTTTCAGCCACTATTTAAATACACTTCCACACACATTCTGACATTGAATGTTAACTATTTCACGGTGTGATGCCATGCTAGACAATGTTTGTTACGGTAACAACGGAATGTCATGCTCTCAGATATACTATATAACTATATACTATATAACTATGTACTATAATTTTGTAAAAATAGAAAATGATAGAGGAAAATATTTTTAAACTTTTGTTAGAAGGAGACTGAACTAGAAAAGTCTCTTGAGGCACTATTTACCATACTTAATTGGCTAGAACTTGTAGAAGTGCTTTGATGAAATGTAAGATGGAAGAACCTTTTATGGCACATTTGGCGATGTGTATATTTTTAAATTTAAAGTAGGTCTGTTTAATATTTTTATTTTTAGCTATCTATATTAAGTAATCATGGGTGGTAGTGTGGATTAATGTATGAGGAAAGTAATCACAATTTGTTTATAATAGTGGAAAATTAGGATCATCTTAAATAGCACACAGTGGATGATTAGATTATGGAACATTCACATTGTAATCCTATGCTACTAAAAGTACATAATAAAATATTTACATGGTAACATTTCCCTTATCCTTGATCATGTTATTCAAAGTAAATCCAGCATTCATTCATCCATTCAGTCCAGTAATAGGGTATTATGTTCATTCTATCCTTTTATTTTCTTTATTGTTAAAGTATGATTTTATAATCCTTTGTAGTGTTTTGAAGGGCAGAAGGGTGAATTTAATAAATGTTATTGACCACATTCCCTACCAGATGCCTTAACAGACTCTAGGGATCCTGAAGTACACAAGAAGAAATGTTTGTGAACATACGTGAGAGCAAGCGTGTGTGCGCCTCTCTCTCCCTTTCTCCTTCCCTGCCTTCCTCCCTCCTTCTCTGCCTTCCTCCCTCCCTCTCATTTTAGTAGTTTCTTTTAATGAGGAGTTTGTTAAACTCAGTCTTGCATGTCTGAAAATAATTATTTTGATTCACCATAAATGATAATTTGCCTGGGTATGTCCCAGCTCCCTGGTACTTTGAAGACATTCCTATCTTTGATATATTGCTTTGATGAAAAGTTGGCTGCTTTTGTTGTTTTCATTTATCTGTTATCTCTGGTTTGCTTTTTAAGATTTTTTTCTTTGTCCTTGATGCTCTGCAGTTTCCTATCATATGCTTAGGTAAGTTTGTTTTTATTTATACTAGCTGGGCTATGTGCTTTTTCAACTTGAGATCTTCTGCCTTAATTCTCAGAATATTTTCTTTGTATGTTTTCTGTATTCTTTTCTGTTGGTTACTGAGCTTGTGAGGTTTATGTCCTTTGTCTCCTCATATTCTTTATCCTCTGAGTTCTGAGAGCCTCCGTTCAGTAGTCCTCTCTCCAGCTGTGCATGGCTTCTTGTTTACCTTTTCAGTCCTTTGTAACGTACTGCTTTTAAAAAAGAAACCCAATCCTTTTATGTCCTTTTGAAAAGTCTTTTTCTTCATTTATGTCTCTGTCTGTTTAGGAACAGACTAGACAATACTTCTCTTTTTTGGTCACTTTCTCAGCTCCAGGCCTTTGCTATTTTCTGTTTGTTTATTTGCTTTTTCTTGAGTCAATTTCTTCTCACACTGTACTTCTCCATTTGTCTCTAGTTCCAGTCTACCATGGGGTTCTGTTTTAACTCTGCTTTCGATACCTGAACATTTATTTTCCTTGGGAGCTTGTATTAAGCATAAGAACCAAGTTCTTAGTCAAGGGTAATGGAAGGTGTTTTTATAGCTGTTGCTTCAAGATTTTCAACTGTGGAAGAAAGGAAAAAAAACTAGAGTGTGGTTAAAGCAGTTCTTAATGTTAAGGGCATTAGATCTCTTTGAGAATCTGGAAACAATGAATCTTAAAGATTCAGGGTCTCACAGAATCAATACATGAATGTGTATCTCTGAGGACTGGATTGAGAAGCCATAACCCAACAGGAGTGTATATTCAACTTTGTTATTCTTGGGCTATTGGCTGAAGAGGTGACATCAAAGCATAATAAACTTTGGTGGTGTTCAAGCTTAGCTAAATAGGAGAGCATATCATTTATGTAAAATCTGTTACAAGCTCAAATTTATAAAATTGATATAAGTAAAATTTGTCTAGTAAAGCCAATGTAGGGTTCTGGAGCATGCTTACTTCCAGCTCTTACCTCTCCTTTCCTGTTCCCAAAAGCATATGCTGGAACTTTTTATATTGCTGTAGTATCCTGATAAAACAGGAAAAAAATCTCCATATATCTGCAAGAATTCGGTTCTTTAAAAAAAATTGAAGCACATTTATTTATGTGTTTGTCATTCACATGCTACAGTGTGCGTGTGGAAGTCAAAGGAAGTCAGGTCTCTCCCATGTAGGACCTGGGGATCACACTTAGCCTGTGTCTTGGTAGCAAGTGCCCTTACCCACTGAGCCATGCCCTGGCCTTATAAATATGCTTCTTATTGGAGTTCTGTTGCTGGTCATTTAGTAGACATTGCTAATCACCTTGTTTAATAAGGAGGAGATAAGGGCCTTCACTGAAAGGAGTTCTGTATTCTGCAGTGTACTTGAAGTATATAATTACACAATTACACTATTATGACACTGGAAGTGAAGTTTGATATAAGCAGAAATATCAACTGAAAATTTTCCTTGCAGTTTTGCTATTTGACAATTCTTTTAGAAGATAGCTATTCAGTGTCCAAAGCATATCAGGAAGTACTCGTTTTTAGTGGTGTTTACATACATACTTCATATTGCAAAAGACCTCAGGAGATAGCCATCAGAATGTAGAGAGTAGGTACTTAAGGTTAAATAGATCGATAGTTTTATTCTGTTCATTTTTGTATTTTCTTTAAACTTTTTTATTGCCTTTTTATTTATTAGAGATGATGTGTGTGCATGCACGTGTGCCCGTGTAGGATACAGGTACTATATTAGAGAACTCAGCTCTTTTCCTCTACTCTGTGGGTTCCAGGTATTGAACTCAGATCTTCAGGCTTGGTGGTAAGCTCTTTGACCCACTGAGCCATCTCATGGGCCTGCACTTATTCATATTTTCTGAACATCTAGAGAAGCTTGGGATGTGTGGAGGATCAGTGTTTCCAGGCCAGTTCCTGTCCTACCTGTGCTATGAAAATGAAACAGTTTGAAGAGTCCTTTAAAATGACTAGATACTATTTTAATATACATCATTTGATAGAAAAAAACCAAGCCATTCAATTTCAATTTTGGGTTTGATATGTATTTAGAGTAAAGAGTAATTGTATATTTGTTGATTTTTTTATTTTTAAAATTTTTTATATGTATGAGTGTTTGCCTGCATGTATGTCTATACACCATGTGTGCGGTGCCAGAGGGGGCAGAAAATGGTGTCAGAACTGGAACTGGAGTTCCAGTGGTTGTGAGCCATCATGGGCCCTCAGGAAGAGCAGCCAGATGACCCGATGAGCTGTCTCTCCAGCCCTACATTTGTTTACTTCTAAAATAATGGAAGCTGTTGTAAAAGCATTCTTAAATCTTCCTCTTTAGGTGTTTCTGCAGGAGAGAAGAGAGCCGCTACAAGTGGACGTGGCTCAACAGGCTTTAGGATGTCCGAAGATGAAGAAAAGGTGAAGTTACGCCGACTTGAGCCAGCTATCCAGAAATTCACTAAGATAGTGATCCCAACAGATCTGGAGAGGTTAAGAAAACACCAGATAAACATCGAGAAGGTGAGCATTTGTTTCCACAGCAGAAGCAGGTACCTGCCTGGATTCTTACTTGCTGTCTCTAGATTCCAGCTGAATAGAGAATCTGAGACTTCCAACCTGCTGATGCAGCAGGATTCCCTTCTCAAGCTGGTCTTCATGTTCTACAAATGTAATTCTTATATATTCCTTTATTATGTCGAAGAAGGGAGATAGGAGTAGAATTTGTACCTACTCTGCTCCTACCTCCATGTGCGATTAAAAAATTTGCACATGGAGGTTTTAGGTGGTTAGTAATTAAGTTGGACTGTTTGATAGAGCTCGTGATGTGAAGACGATGTGCTCATTTCGTTCATCCCAGGGCAAGTGTTTTGAACTCGTGCCTATCAGTAACTCTCTCCTCTTCATGTAAAGATGTAGATAAATGTGTGCTGTGAGGGAATTTCCTTTCTTCACTGCTTTTCTTTGAGACGTACCGACGAGGTGGGCTGGGGAAATAGGCAGAGGGTAGATGAGCTGTGCAGAGACCAGCATCGACCCTGCCCTGAATAGGTTGTGTGTGGGGTTTACAGATACAGCAGCCTCAGGTTTTCTGAGAAGTGAGCCCTAGCTTGGAAAGGTGGGTTGTCTTCTGCTTTAAACACTGAGCTGTATTCTCCTCTACTTCTCTTTTTCAATTTTAGGATTAGGGTGGACGATGTGGTCATTAAACCTTTCAGTATAAGCTCTATTCATTAAAAATACCAAATGTGTTTTCCCTATCAATTTTTTAAGTAAGTGCTTTTTTAAAAACACAGAAACTAATTTCTAAGATGTCTGCAATGGAAATTTCTCTGAGGATTTTTTTAAAATTTCGTATTATATTTTTTTCATCCCTTAATTCCTTTCTTCTTTACATATAAAGCATAGGTTTTAGCTTTAGCTTGTAAGGATACAGAAGGAACTGTCTGGTATTCTTGGAATGGAAACATGTGAAGGGATTCCATGTTTGCTTCATGAGATAGAGAAACATATCAAATCTCCAACCTAGAGTTGAGCAATCCAAAGTAAACAGTTCTGTTTCTATATTGTTACAGTGTTACAAAATGTGTAAAAGATTTGGTAAGGTCTGTTTCAAAGTCCTGAGCCATATCCATTTCTCCATTACAAAGATGATAAGCATTAGGTGGATGAATTGATTCTAAAAGGTAGAAACAAGTGGTTTGTGAGCTATTAAAGCCATGTCCCTCTTTATTGTCCTACTTTACCTTTGAGATTTAATACGTCTTACTCTGTATGAAAATGCCTGCTGGTATTCCCTTCAATTCTCACTACATGTGTGCGCAGCCCTACCAATGGAAAGCGAGAACCCTGCAGCAAGGTGGTGCAGAAGGAATAGGTCCACTACTGATTGAATTAGAAGCGTTATCTTGGAGTCAGTGCCATTGATTCTGCTCTGCCTGAACATGTTTCTTTTAGCATTTTTACTTATTATGAAACCTCCAGACATCCAGATAATTATAATGGATAGACAGATGATAATATCTAGAACTAAGAAGGCAAACTCAAATATATTTGAACACTTCACTGTAGGGTTTCTATTCTAACTATGAAAATACCTCTTTCTCTGTATAGAATTGAATAGCATGTTTTGATGGGTAGGCTATGGCATGTAAACATATTTAAAACCTGTAGTGCTCACTCTGTACAGGACAGTTAACTAAATTTAGGCTCCAGGTGTCTTGCAGTGCCTCACGTTCAAAAGGCATATTCTTCTTGAGGAAAAGGTGTAGAAAGATAAAATATTTATTATTCTGGCCATCAGTCATCCAATATGAATTTAAGAGAAAAAAGCCAGACTGGAGGGAAATTGAAGGGGAGCCTGTAGCAGAGTGATTCTGCAGCAGTGAGAACAATGAGAGCAGTGTGCTGTGGACACCTGGGCCGTGCTCCACAGGCCCTTCATCAGCACACTGTTACTCATGGTAAGTGTTACTAGCATGGGATCCTGGAGTTTGAAGCCCTAACATTCAGCTTTCTTAGCTAATGCCTCTTAGCTAAAGCACAGTAAATAGCTACAAGATAGCCAACTTGAAACACAATTTTCTTTGTGTTTCATATTGTTTCATATTGTTGGGATCTAAGAAGAAACTTACTGTGAGGGATGTACACACAGGATTGAAAACCCCCAAATGGCTTATCAGATAAGGTGGGGTTTGTTTGCCTTGGGTTTGCCTCCATCTCATCTCATGGTAATGGATGTCTTCCATTACCTGCAGGCATGCTCCATCCAACCCAGCTTCATTTTCCTCCTAATGATCTTATTAGCCTCTTTCTATTTTGAAGGTGAATTCCTCAGTAAAGAAGGTAGAGGAAGTATGGCCCTGAGTAATTTTGCTTTCTGTCTTACATCTGTTAATGACATGCACCCCATCATTTACCTCCATTCAAGCTTTGTTCTTTGTTCAGATCCCAGCTCTGGTGCTTCCTGTGAAGTGTGCTGATTGATGTCATCACCTTGTATTTAAACACATTATCTTGACACAGCCCTGTGAAGTAGACCTTAACATTTACAGATTTAACATCTTTGTTTTAACCCCAGTCTATCTGTTGGAGTTATTTTATTAGAGGTGATGCTGTAGCAGGGATGAAGTGGGGTTGGGGGGAGCTAAGAGGGGTAAGTATACTGTACATTATGTGGCCATCCATCTGACCTGAGAGAAGGAAAGTGAGCAAAGAAGATGACAGGCTCACCACCACTCCAAGCCCAGGCTGCTTGAGTACAGTATCCTCTCTTTGCTCTTGTTAGGCCTGGAGTCCAGGCTCCAGGTTCTCTAGTTGGCCCCTGCAGAGAGGGGCAGGGCAGTGATGTGGTAACTGTTTGTGTGGCTTATGTAAGCCTCCCACTAAACCTGCTTTTCTTTCTACCACACTTTTTAACTGGTCACCTGCACCTAGTATTTCTGGATGTCCAGCCTTCCTGGAGGACAGTTGCCTGTGGCCTCCGTGTATCTCTCCCCTCCAGCCACCTCTACAGGCTCAGATTGTTGCTCTCTGTGCTCTGCTGTATCCGCTACAGTGTGTCTATATTCTTTCCAGCTTCTGAAGTTTGGCTGGAAGCTTTTGTCTGTTGGTGTCTTCTATTGTGTTCTTATTGCTCTTGTGAATTTTCACCTCTTAACATTCTTTATTGTCCTTTCATGGGATTTTGGAAAAGAACAGAAGTGAATATTTGTATTCAATTTACCAGGTTTAATGAGAAACGAGATTATTTATTACAGGAAATAAATATTAGCTTTCCATAAGTATTTATGGGTCTTTAGTATTGGCTGTTTCTTAGATTTCTAGCCTTGAATGATATGCAAAAATAGATTTTCAATTCTCAAGAAGTTTGCAGTTTAGTTAAGGAAACAAGATAGAAAAATAATCCAAGAATGATGAGAGGTAGCTTGTGAATAGTGTGAAATGGGCGGCATGAACTAGACAGCAGCTTGAACCCAGCAGTACCAAATGAAAGAAGACGACTGACTTAGTATGCATTTGTTCATATTTATTTGTTTGTTAATTTGTAATTACAGTATAACCCCCCTCTCCATCCTGTGACTGTTTCCTTTACCAAACTCAGGTGATGGTGAATAGTACTGGGTGTGATGAATGTGATAATTCAGCTCTTGTCCATGTTTGGTTATCAGGGAGCTATAGGCACATCTTGCAGTTCTGGCCAGTAAGTCTTGACAAAAGCTTGGTAGGAATTTGGAAACCTCCAGAAATATTTTCCTACTTTAAAAGAGATACACATGTAGGGAAACAGTCCTCTCTCTTCTAGTGGTCTGGTTATGTCTTCCTGTTGTATTGGAAGTATAGCCGCCCTACTGCATTAGGAGACAAATCTGAGGGCCTTTTTGAAAGTGCAAAAGGTGGAACCTGGCACTTGATGACCTTGTCAGTGCCTGTATTGAACCACTCTGGGATGATTGCCACACACCTGGCTACTTTCTGTGTGACGTAGGGAGTGTGTTTCTTGTTAGAGCCACTTTAAAGTTTGTGTTTTTGTATTTAGTGACCCAAAGCATAATGCCGAGGTTCTTCCTTAATCCACTTGCCTGTCCTGCTGTGCGGTTAGACAAAGACCATCTTGTGCAAAACCAGCCACTTAGAAATGCTAGCCAGCAGCCCAAACTTAACTACAAGTTTAAAAGTTGCTTCTATAGGGGTTTTCACACATATTAGTATATCACTCTGCTCCCCCTTCCCACACCAAATATTTGGGATAATAGCTTTCACAGTATATCATAATTTCACATAAAATTGAATAGTAAGCAGTAGCAAACTGAATTATTTTATTCTTTATTTTCTTATAACTCACTATAATAAGAGATAATGCATTGAGACAGCAATCTCTTCTATAGTCTCTTTGATAAGTGAGCAAATAAAGACGGCAGTAGAAAAGGCTGCTGCTTTCCTTTATTGAGAGTTCTGTTACGAGTTTTCTTGCCATAGCACTTAGTCTTATAGTAGCTTTACAGGTCAAGTATTGTTGTTTGTTTTGTTTTTTAGTTTTTTTCACTATTTATTTATTTATTTATTTATTTATGTGTATGTGTGTGGACATCCCTCCACACTGTAGATGTGGAGGTCAGAGGACAACCTTTGAAGTCAGTTCTCTTCCTTCTATGTTGTGGCTCCTAGAAGTTAAATTCAGGTCTTGAGCTTAGGGACAAGCACCTTTGTCTGCTCAGCCATCTCACTAGCTGAGACTGCAAGCATGCATCTTACCATCTGCTGCCATTCAAGCTTTGTATTTTGTTAGCTCCTAGCTCAGGTTCCTATGGAGGGTGCTCTGATTGATTCCATCGCCTCAGACATAAAGACTTCACTATGCAGGAGCCTTAACCTTTACAGACTTAGCTTCCATGCTCTACTATTTGGAGCAAAGTGTACTATTTGGAGCAAAGTGTTTGCAGTTATGATGATGAAATTATAACTGCATATGATCATTGTAAAGAGTAAGATATTATATGATGAGACTGGAGAGATCGCTCAATAAATAAAGTGCTTGCCAAACAAGTATGAGGACCAGAATTTGGGTCCCCAACACCCACATAAAAGTTAAGCAGGTATGGCGGTCTGCTTGTAATCTCAAAACTTGAGGAGGCAGAGATGGGATTTCCAGGAGTTTTAGTTGGGGTTTCTGTTGCTGTGATAATGATCATGACCAAAAGCAAGGGAGAGGAGAGGGCTTACTTTAGCCTGTGCTTGTGGGTCACAGTCCATCACTGAGGAAGTCAGGACAGGAACTCAAGCAGAGGCCATGGAAGAGTGCTGCTTGCCAGCAGACTTACCTGCTTTTTTTTTATGATGCCCAGGACCACCAGGCCAGAGCAAGCCTCACCCACCATGGGCTGGCTCTCCCACATCAATCACTAATTATGGAAATGTTCTGTAGGCTTGCCTCCAGTCTGAGTTTATGATCAAATGAAGGGATTTTTTATCATTTGCTGTCCCCTCCTGTCAGATGACTCCAGCTGTGTCACATTGACATAAAAACTAGCCAGCACACCAGGGCAAGCTGACTAGTTAGACTAGTTAAGTCAACAAGCTCCAGGTTAAGCTCGAGACCCTGACTTAGTAAATACAGTGGAGAATAACTGAGGTAGACATACAAACCACCACAATAACTTATGTTAATATCTTGCCTCTACACACTCGTGAACACACATTCACACCTCCTGACATGTACTGTCATACAAAGGGAAGCACATATGCACGACTCACATACAAGTATATGGAAAATATATGCTCTAGGTATTTACTCAAAAGTGGAGTATGTAATTAGTGAGCTGCCTGTCGGTAATTTCTAATATATTAGATTTAGAACATTCCTGTTGCCCTTCATGTTTGTTCCTGTTTTGTATTTTTAATATTTGGTAGTCAAGGTGAGGCAGTTACTCTTATCTGTACTTTGAAGTAGATATTATCTTCAATATGTAAGTAATCCTCACTTTATGACCCTTAGCCACTGGTCCATCTGCCAATGCTGGCTGTGTAGCTTTTCTGTAGATTGTTTAGTATTTTCTGTGTAGTTAGTCATGGCACCTATGAAGGGAGCTTCCTTTCTGATTTTCCTCCATGTTCCCCCTCTCCATCACTTCCTCCGTATCTCTTCCTGTCTTTTTTTTTTCCCTCCATTTCTTCTTTTGTCTTTGTTCTGCCCTATAGTGCTGATTAGAGTTTCCAGTGTCTTACTGACTGCCACTGGAAAGAATCTTCTTTCCCATCTTAGAGAAGGGTCCTTCTCCACTAAGTATGATGTAATCTGTGTGGACTACTTTTTAGCACCTGCCTCATGATTCAGAATATACATACTTATAGTGTGTGTATGATGTCATATGTGCCATGTTGGCATGTGAAAGTTGGAGGACAACCTGCAGGAGTTGGTCCTGGAGATGGAACTCAGGTAGTTAGACTTAGCACCCATTTGCTGAACCATCTTGCTGGCCTAAGAGTTCAGAAATAATTAAAAAGTTGGTATTTATCTGTGTATTTACCATTTGTCTATACTCCCTGTTGCTTTGTGGAGAATGAGTTCTGTCAGGTACCATCAGCTTTTCTCATACTGTCTTGTGATGGGGTCAGCTGCTGCGCATGTGTCTACGCTTCTCCTTCGCTTCCCTGGGTGGTGGTTGTTGAGCTGTGTCTCTTCTCTGTGGCCTGCATGTTGTTCCATTGGCTCTGACTTGTCTTGTTCATCAGGGACTTCTGTCACTCTTGTCCTTGTCCCTCTGCACTTCAAGCATCTTTTTCTTTCTGCTTTTTAAATTTTTTATCTTAGTTTTAAGTAGTTAATATCATTCTACTAACAAATAACTAAAATTCTTCATACATATTAAGGATGCATGAGAAGGAGTCCTGTCCATCTTCCAGTTTCTTTTATATCCTCATTCTCTGTATTTCCCTTCCCCAGAGAATCTGTACATAGACAAAACCTTTATTTTGTTTTTTTTTTAAAGTAATTTGGTCTGATACTATTTTGTGTTATTGTTTACTATTAGTTCTCAATTTAAAAAATGTAATATTAAAAGCCTTCAGAAAGATAATTCTCATTACAAAAAATTATGGTTTTCCCTGCCTCTTATGTTTGAGTAGATGAGTAAGGGCTTTGTGGTAACTGGACATGGTCTCATGATGTAAAACTCAGCACTCACTTTCCCTATTTTTTGTTTTTTGTTGAATAGTATCAGCGGTGCAGAATTTGGGACAAATTGCATGAAGAACACATCAATGCAGGGCGCACTGTTCAGGTAAGGCTGCTGTGTATGGCAAATCTATAAAAAAGACAGTCTTGGGGAAATGAGCCTTTGTCTAAAGTGCACATTTCAAGATGTCTGAGACGAGACAAGCATAGACAAAGTCTGTTTCCGTTCCACACGCTCCGTGCACCCATGTTTGATTCCATCTCATGAGGTCAGCTGTGGCATCATACTGGCTGGAAAGTGGCAGGTTTCGGGATGTTTAGGACTTGTGGGTTTTGAGGTAGGGGTGTTGAGCTTACTCCTTCCTAGCTGACCCATTTTTGTGTATTTGTTGCTGTTTTACCAGGAACTGCTGAGTCACCTTTCATGTTACCTAATTTTCCTTCAGGAATAACAAATTAACTTATATTTTCACAATCAATGCATTTTCCAAAAACCTTACAAAATTCACAGTATTTCCCAAGGTTGTATTAATTAATTGGTTGGTTAACATAATGCTACTTACAGTTTTAAACTTTTTTTAAAAAATTGCTTTGAAGGGAGGGTAAAAGTTTCTTAAATATCCCTTGAGCAAACATTTCTTAATTGTGTTCTTCATATAGGTTATGCAGCTATGCTTGTAAGACACCAGCAGCTATAATTTGAGAGTTCCAGATTTCTATCTATGAAATATATTATCCATATTTAGTTATTTACTTTAAAAAATAAGTTCTAATTATTTTAAACTAGCTTTGGAAATAGTGTTATATTCAGGGTCTGTGAGGTGGTTCATCAGGTAAGAGGCACTGGCCACCGAGCCTGAGAGCCCAGGTTCCATCTCCAGGACCCAAGGTGGAAGGAGAGAGCTGACTCCGGCTGGTTGTCCTGTGCCCTGCACACGTGTGCTCTGGCACTCAGGCACACTCACACTAAATAAGTCCATAATTCTTTAAGAGTAGTACAGCAGAAGCAGAATCCTACGGTTCTCTATCTTATCCACTGTGAGGCCTTTGGCTCCCTTCCCGTGTTTCCTCATTATTACTGACGAGCCTATGTAGCCCTGTGGCTTTGACACCATCTATTCACCCCTGCCGTGTGGGTGGAGCCCTAGCTTTCCACTTTGTTCTCCTGCCTCCCTTCTCCTGTATAATTGCATATGTGCAGTCCTTGGTTCAGTTAGTACTCAGCACCTCATTATTTTGATTATAAGGACATTATTTTCTGCCAAATCAAATAGTGAAATACAGTCCAGACCTTTACTTTTTTTTTTGAAGTTAATAACAACCTTATTTTTAATTACCTGGCTTTCTGTCTGTGTATTTTTGAGTTCTGTTAAGATGTTCCACATTAAAAAGGCATTTAAAAAAAGATGTTCCACATGTCTTATCATATTGCTGTCAATGATATTTTCATGAGTTTAGATCTATCTGTCCCGTTCTTTATTTTGGAAGTTCTTTCTCTAAGCCCTTCATCGCTCATTCCAGTGTGGAACTGTCTGATGCATAGCAGCTGCTGCCCTGAACCTTCCCTGTGTCTCTGCAGAACTCCCCCCACTGTTGTGTTGGTTAGCACGCAGAGGTAAAGGGTTAAGTAGCTGTGTGTCTACAGCCCTCACTGTAGTTACACCAGGTGTAGAATTCCCTTTGGAACTGACTTTCAAGCATGAATGCTTTCCAGCTCTTTGTGTGATTTTTTTCAATATCTGAATCACCTGATTCCCCAGTCTTTGCAATGGACTTTTTTCTTCCTTGGGGCCTTTTGTGCTCCTTTTATCCCTAGTACTCTGAACTTTTAATGTGTTTTGTGTTGTATCTTATCATTTCCATCTCAAAAATAATTTTCTTTAGTTCTGTGAAATTTTATTTATTTATTTGCTTCTTTATTTGTATTTTGAGACAGGATCTCACTTGGGCATAGGTCGGCCAAGAACTCACTTTGTAGCCCTGGGTGTCCTCAAACTTATGGCATCTTCTTGACAGCCCCCAAGTGCAGGGGCTGTAGGTGTGAGCTACCACACCTAGCCTTAATTCATTCTCATAGTCTCTCTCCTCTCTCTTGAATATTTGAAGGTATTTTGTTGTGGGACCTGAGGAGATGGCTCAGGAGGTAAAGTGACCACTGGGCAAGTATGAAAACCTGAGTTCAGATCCCCAGCACATGTAAAATGTGTAAAAAGTCAGTCAGGTGTGGCATGCATCTTGACCTTAGTGAAGACAGGCAGATCCTTGGAACCTGCTGTCTAGCCACTTTAGACACTCAGTGAGCTTGGTACCCTGTCTCAAAAAATAAGGAAGAGAGGGATAGAGGAAGACACCCAACAGATGCTGACCTCTGCCCCACACAAAGGGTCACACATACTCAACATGTACAAATGTGTGCACACACTATTGTAACTCCCAGGCTGCCCTGGCCTGACAGCTAGCTGTTTGTTTGTTGACTATTTTTACATTTCAAATGCAGAGCTGAATAGTTGCTACAGAGACTATATCGCCGCAGAGTCTAAGTTGTGCACTACCTGGCCCTACAAAAAGGGTTGCCAGTCTTTGTTTCACTGAATGTGGGAACTCAGATTGCATGGCACAGTGGTTAAAAACGAGCCTGGGAACCTGGGTTCAGGTCCCAGAACCCATATAAAAAGCTAGACACCATAGTGCATGTCCATGGTTCCAGCATCCCTACAGCAAAATGAAAGCAAAGACAGGCAAGTCCTCTAGAAGATTTTAGGCTCACTAGTCGGAATAACTCAAGTGTATCAGTGAACAAGAGAGACCTTGCAAAACAGTGAAAGGCAAAAACCAACACCAGAGGTTGTTCTTTACCTCACACTCAAGCACATTTGACACACATCAGACAAACACATAGGCACAAATGTATATATAGATATATAAACATATTTAAATTAGAATATTTGCAATATCGTGAAAATTGAGATTGGATGGAGTGAATGCAAGATGTCCCTAGAAAAGATTCCAGAAGTGCAAGGAATAGATAGTAGCTTCAAATAAGATGGAGAAAAGCAGATTGGTTTGAGATTGAGATGGAAATACAACTTGTCTCTATGTTATACTAGATGGTAAATAAATAGATTACAGGCCTAAGGAAGAGGGGGCATTCGACTCTTCCCAGATCCCACATGCCATCAAGATTTAGTGTGGGTCCAGTGGTCCTGAGCATGTTAATGTTAATGAGATTATTATGACTAGTGTTTCTTACCGTCTTGACTGTTTAATGTTTTACTAACAATCATATGATTTGTTTGATATATTGACTGTATCAGAGAATTTGTGTACTGATTTTTAAAACCATGTTGACATTATTGGCCTCCATCTGGTATAAGAGATTTATGTGTGCCATTGAAGTAATGAGATCAAACTTGTTAGATTCTGGTGTTTACTTACTGTATTCATCTCTGCTCTGGACTTAGTGTATAGGCTTGTTCATGGCTAGTTTGTGATTTAAAAAAATATTTTTGTTTTAGAAACAAGTTATAGGTTTTCCAGGTTTATCTGAATTAGGCTTCTGTAAAACCCACCTTCTCAATTTGACTTGTGTTTTAAGACAAAGGACTTCTCATGTGATCTAATTTTTCAACCTTTTCTTTTATGTTTTATGCTTTAGGTATCATGTACAAGTAACTTTCTCCATACTCATAAACAAGGTTTTGTTTCAAACTACTTTATTCATTTTGTTTTTGAGACAAAATGTTATGTAGCTCAGGTTGGCCATAAACCAACTATAGCTTTGAGGATGGCCCCAAACTCTTAACCATCCTAGTCTGTCTCCTGAGCCCTAGTAATAATAATACACACCACTGTACAGGGTACTAATTCATTTGGTCTTAGATACTTTATAAGCGTGTGTGTGTGTGTGTGTGTTGACTTTCTTTTAATTTTTGGTTAATGTACCAATATAGTTAGTTTTCAAAATAGATAGATTTTTATAGCCAATTACTTTTAAAGTCTTATTATTTCTAATGATTTTTTGTAATGCCTTTGGATTTTCTTTCCTGGTTCAACTTTTTGAGACTCATTTTTTTTGTCTTATAGTATAACCATATTTTCAGATTCCTATTTTATTTTGATTACTTGCATTTTTTTTTTAAATCTGACTTACCACTTGAAAAAAGAGTTGCTTAAAAATAAGCTTGTTCAGCCTGGTGGTGGTGGTGGCGGCGCACACCTTTACTCCCAGCATTTGAGGTAGCAGAGGCAGGTGGATCTCTGAGTTCGAGGCCACCCTGATCTACAGAGCAAGTTTCAGGATAGTCAGGGCCTCACAGAGAAACCTGACTTGAAAAAGTCAAGAGTCAGAGGGCAGGGGTGAGGGGGGACTCACGCCTTTAATCCTAGAACTCAGGAGACAGAGGCAAGTGGATCTCTTGAGCTCGAAGCCAGACTGCTCTATAGAGCGAGTTCCAAAACAGACTCCAAAGCTACAGAGAAGCCCTATCTTGAAAAAAATAAAAACAAAACAAAAAAAGGAAGAAGCCAAAAGGAAAAGAAAAAACAAACACAAAAAGCTTGTTTAAATATATCTTTTTAAAATTGCAGCTTAATGCCAGAGAGATGGCTCAGTGAGTATGACCGTAGTGATACTTGTACCGTTCATGGCTGAAGGGGAGAACCAGCTGCCAGAACTGGTTTTTCTCTGACTGCATATGTGCATATGCATGTGTACTCATACACACACTTAAAATACAAAAATAATTTAAACACTATATAAAACACAGTAACTCCTGTAAAATAATTCTTTTATTTAATTTTTTTTCACACAGTATATTTTGACCATATTGCTTCCCTTTCCTCAACTCTTTCCCAGATCTTTCCCACCTCTCTACCAACTAGACTTTATATTTTCTCTCTCAAAAAATTCCAGTAAGAGAAAAACCAAGAAAATGAAACTAAATAAAAGACACACAGAAAACATGGAGTCAATTTTGTGTTAGCCAGTAACTTCTGGGCATGGGGCCTGCCCTGGGCAGTGGTTGATACACCCAGTTTTCTTGTGGAAAAACTGATTTTCCCTTTGCCAGCAGGTATCAATTGCAAATAGCTTCTTGGTTAAGGGTG